TTGATAATAATCAGAAATGTTTCTTGAGCAGCAAATCAGCATATTATATTAGAATGATTTCTGAAGGATCATGTGACTGAAGACTGGAGTAATGATGCTGAAAATTCAGCTTTGCATCACAAGAATAAATTACATTTTAAAATATATTACAAGAGAAAGCAGTTATTTTAAATTGTAATAATATTTCATAATTTGCTGTTTTTTCTTTATTTTCAATCGAATAAATGCAGTCTTGGTGAACAGAAGAGTCTTCTTTTAAAAACATTTAAAAATGCAAGCATCATATTACTACTCCTCATACTTAATGATTTGATGGTAATGACAACTACTAGAATTGAACAAAATCTTAATTTTTAGTTTTAATTCATTGTTTAATAAGAAAGACATGAGATAACATGAGACGACAGAGAGTGCAGCACTTCACACAGCTGTTCCAATGCCACCCTCCTGTGGACAAACTGCACAATAACAAGAGCCAAAGACAGATCAAGTCCAGAGCTGAGCACACTTTCCGAGGGATTTTGAAAGACAGGAGATTTAAGGTCAAGTTTAGTTTAAACCGTCTTTATTTCAATCCTTTCATATCATCATAAGTAGCTAAGAATTCAGACTGAAAACTAAATGATGTGCAAAGCTCTGTATGTAGAGCAGAGGTTAAATATAAGTTATGTTCTTTAAAACTCATATGCAATTATATTTTTCTGTGCAATACGAAAGAGACATTTTTACTAGCATCTCTTTTTATATATGTACAATGCAATGAGAGTTCTACAGTATTCATTATTCAAATGACAACCATTACAGTGTTTTATTGAAAGTAAAACTTCAAAAATTCTTGGAAACTGAAATAAAACTGAAATAAAAGAAAATATAAATATTAGATAAAAAATGTAAAATCTACAAAATAAATATGTAAATATAATTTTAAATGACTAAAACTAAAACTGAAATAAAATAAAGCGAAATAGAAATATTTTTTTAAACAATTATAAAAAATAAAACTAATAAAATGAAAAAAGAACAAAATGGCTGAAATTTAAACTAAACTAAAATAAAAAATATTATATAAATCACATTTAAATTATAGCATAAATCTCATTTAAAAAAAGCTAAACTAAAATGACAAGCGTAATAAAATTACAAAAATTTTAACTAAAATAAAATGAAAATATAAAGTAACATTTAAATTAAAAACGACGACAAGAGTAACACAATTATAAAAATGTAAACTAAAATTTAAATGAAAATGGAAAATATAAAAATAAATATAATAATTCAAAACATTAAATAAAGCTATTATATAAATAATACTGAAATAGCACTGGACCATTACAGAAAACTTTGTTATTCATCAAAGTTATAAAATTACTAAAACTAAAAGTAAAATAAAAATAAATAAATAAATAAAGCTAAAAGGAAAAATGACAAAAAATATAAAATTACTAAAATTTAAACTAAGCTAAAATAAGATACGATATAAAATCTAATTTCTATTTTCCGAAAACAGAAATAACAGCTAATTCAAATTAATGATATAAAACTGAAATACCACTGGATCATTACAGAAATCTTTGCTCTCCACCAACGTTCTGAAATCTCATTTGCAATTTAATTTGCAATAAAATATTAAATAAAATAAAATAATAATAATAATAATCAATCAAATAAAAATAAAGACATTAAAAAATACATACATATATACATACATACAGGTTTAATACCATAGATGTCCAGCCTAATGAAGGCCAAATTTACAGAAACTCTGCTGATCATGTGAATGTATATTTTTTTTAATTATCAAAATATTTTTTTGCGGGGGGGAATCTATCTGATGGCACTGCTAATGTAATTAAAGTGAGATTATCATGTCTGCATGGCACTCAAGATGGCACCGTTCACAAGGCTAGTAGATCAGTGGCCAGTGCTGACAAGGCATTTATGTATTCAGCTAACAAATATCCAACATGGGCTGATGTGTTCTCAACTTTCACATCAAATTTAAAATGACAAATTAGGCCGTGCATGCATGCAAATATCAATATTGATTAAACTCCAGTATGCGATTAAAAAAACGAAATGGTGCAGAGATTCACAATCTACATATACTGCTAGTAAAGCTTTGGGCTCTGTTTACCTGGTAATCCTTCTTATGAATGAACTGTGGGCTTCACTACACCAATCTCATTATGTCTATGAGATCTGGGGCATCAAGAGCTTTCACTGTTTGTTCTCTATGGGGAAAAACACTCTCTGTCAATGAGATTTTATCTGAGACCCACAATCACAATCCCTCACTTTCACACTCAAACGCACCTGGACATACTGTATTATATCAGGGTTTTACCCTGTGTAATCAGGTTGTGCTTTTATCATTATCCGAAAGCTTTAATACTCAAGATCTGATATAAGAATATAACTCATACTATTATTATTCAGAGTGATAGTATCATTCAGAATATGGGCCTTTGCTCATATTAAAATAAAACATATTCAGTGGGACAATCAGACTGATACACATTTTTATAAAAATGTCATGCATAAATTGATATAGTATGAAAATAATTATAGCCTATGTAAAATCGTATTAGGAAAATATTAGAAGTATTATTTATTTATGCATGTTTATTTGTTTATTTAAATGTATTATTTATGTATTTTAGTCACTTTAGTTTTTTTTATTTGTTTATTTTAATCGTATCTTTTATTATTTATTTATTTTTATATTTTTACACTTTTTTTCTCTAAACGTTTTTGAAAACCCCATGCTATATTTATAAATTATTTTTCATTAAATTATTATTATTTTTTTTATATATACTTATTAATCACATGCTTAGCTTACCTTATAAATCTGGAATACTCAAGATTTAATATAACCTGGGCTGTTTTGTATTAGCAAGGCTTTTATTCAGAATATAAAACAGATACTGAATGGCAATGACAGTTAATCACAACTATATCAGCAACAAAACCACAGAAAACAAACACACACACACACACACACACACACACACACACACACACACACAGAGACACAGACACACACACACAGAGACACAGACACACACACACAGAGACACAGACACACACACACAGAGACACAGACACACACACACAGAGACACAGACACACACACACAGAGACACAGACACACACACACAGAGACACAGACACACACACACAGAGACACAGACACACACACACAGAGACACAGACACACACACACAGAGACACAGACACACACACACAGAGACACAGACACACACACACAGAGACACAGACACACACACACAGAGACACAGACACACACACACAGAGACACAGACACAGACACACACACACACACACACACACACAGAGATACCCCTACCTCCTTTCCTTCTCAGTTTCAGTGACTGGTTAGAAATGGCAGCTACTGAGGACCCTTAAACCACTCTGGCAAATTACGGAGATATGCGTCGTTTAAAATGGATTAACTCATTAACGGGAATGTCAGCAGTCCAGTCTTGAGCTGTAACAACAGACAGAAGAGAATCCAGTGGCGTATCTCTTTTCAAACCGCAGCGTCTGTCAGTCTATCTGTGTGAAGTGTATTTGTTGGGGTAAGAGAGACGTCGATTAACATTAGCGCTGCTAGCTTCGCTGCTGCTTTCACCTGCCGCTGCTCCTCTCGCAGCCGAGCTTTCGCGCTCTTCCTGCCGCATTCCCTCCCGCTCCGCCCCGCTCTGCTCTGACGCGCTGCCGAGGCTTCTGTGGCCTGCTGCTACCGCTGTGTGCCGCGGGTCATGAAAAGCTGCTTTTGTCCGAAAAGGAAGGACGCTGTGCATTTTACAGTTAAGTCAATGTGGCGTTTAATGGTTGAAATGCTTTTTGCACAAATTTCGAGAAGAATAAGGGACATTGAGGAGACTTGGCTTAGCTTGTTAGCTCGTCTAGGCTAAGTATAGAATTTCTATGGAGTCTCCTAGCAACCTGCAGGATAATGCTAATGGCTAAAATTGGACTTCAGCCAAATAATAAAACGCACTATAATGCGAATATTTGTTATTCATATCATGGACTCAAGATATTACAGCAACGTCAAGATAAGTGGTTAAAATGTTTAAAGAGTTGTGAATTGTTCAGCAGGGTAATACATGTTGGGTAGTTAATGTTATTGTAAAGAATTGCGTTATGAAATATTACTTGTTTGATTTTTATCTCGCATAACAAAAGCGGAGATATTTTAAGATTATGGAGTATAATAGTATTATTTTAGTGATGCATATATATATATTTATTATAGAGAACATTGCTTGTCTACATGAACAATATCTAATCTGTATGTTAATTACATTTATGACATTTAGTATCAGATTTCTGTGTGCATGATTCAGATGTTTGATATACCTATTATGCAGCTTCTGTTCAATTCATTCAAATCACAAAAAGCAAGTGAGTGTGTAAACAGAGGTAATTCCGTAAGATATAAATGCTGTCTTATGATTTGGCTCTTTGAAAACGTTGAAATTGGATTTTCAGATCAGATTAACACTAAAGTGCCTAATGAATTTGATAAGGCAAGACCTGAAACTGTTATTTTGTTATCAAATACTCCAGCATTAGATAGAATAAATGGCACATTATAACAGCCAGCCAGAGTCTGAATGCTGCTGTTGTTTGTGAGATATTTGGAGCCGTAGTGGGGCCAAGAGATTCTCTGTATTTGTATGACAATTGTGGATGGATGTGTATATTTATTTCTATACATATTTTTATGGCCTGGATTTATTCCAAATTTGTGTCACTGTTGTTGACTTATTTCATTTTGAGTAGCACCTGAGCTGTTTTGATTTTGTCTCAGAAATGAAAATATCTTATAGTTGTTGTCGTAATGTTAAAACCAGTGTTAATGCATTTGAGTCGTTTCCCATGATAGTGTTTGCTTCAGCCACCTGTGCAAACAAACATGTTTTCTTAGAGAGGTGGAGTAAACTTGAACAAGCAATGAAATTAACATATGCAGGGCATGTTTTCCTTCTGGTACAGTTGGGACAGTAGATCAGCTTTTTACTTGCCCTGTAAATATTTTCTCTGACCCTGAAGCAAAAGTCTTTGTCAACATATTTTTAATATTTACGTTTAGCAGCTGATTTTATCCAAAGTCACATACCAAAAGGTAACAAAAGCAGTTCGTCAAAGAGCCAAAAATATTTGTAATATACAGTGCCAGGTTTATTAGACAACTACATTTTAATGGTTTAATTAAATTTTAATGATCAAAATTATAACAACTTAATAATGCCTTTTACCTTAGTTCTTCTACAAAAATAGAGCTCTATAAAATGTTTTATATTTTCAGAAATTCATAAATTTTTTTCTGGACTTATGATTTAATAAAAATGTATTATCAAAAATGGTGATAATCAATTTGAAGGCATAAACAATTTTATTTATCCTTTAAAATGTAATCAAATGAAAATTAAAAATTGTATTTTTGGCAAACAAAGTGCTGCACAACAGGGATTTACTGTTAAAATGAACAGTGATTTAAGAAAAACTATGCCATTCATTCACACAGAGACATGCAGAGCATGCAGATTTCATATCTAAATATTATTTTTACAGTTTAATATTCACAGACAGTAGTCCATATCACTTTGATTAATTGTACATCACTTCTTTTTGTGTATTCATCCAAAATTCCAAATTCCGTGACTTTCTGCATTATAGAGTAAATTCCATTTTTGTGACTGGATTTGATTCCATCTATGTTTTCCGCATTGTGGAAATCATAGGGCCCTAAATATGCACATCTGCAAACTGAATTGACAGCATAAATGCAGCAGTGCTCTGATTGGCTGAGTGAAGCTTATGTAAACTGGCCCAAACTTCTCTCACGCTGGCTCCAGGCCATCCTTATTGTTGAGCCCTGAAATATCTTCCAGACAGTGTGTTGACAGAGCCAGCGTCTGTGCCATCTGAGGCTGCTCTGTCCTCTTGGCAGATGAGTGATATGAAAGCAGATCTGCCCCTAATGTCCGAAGGGCATCTCAGAGCCTGTCCTGCTCATGTTCCAGGAAGGTTGCATCCATTCTTTATGATAATTGCTTTGGTGTGCATTTGAAGATGCATCATATTTACTGTTTACACACGTAGCCGGTTGAAATACCAGTTTACACCTACATGAATTTTGCATCATTGTGATTTATCCAATAGGTCTTTCCATTTAACCTGTCATTTCCTTATGATTTTTGGGGTGGGGATAGGAAAAAGCTTATTGCTAATACCAATGTAATTCTGCCAGCATTTGATTGTTTAATAGGGCTATGTCGATTCAAGAATATGTCTTGACTGCATCACATATGTTTACATACATTTTCGTCTGTCTGAACAAGTTCTATCTGACTGCAGATTCCAAATGTACTGTTCATATGTACTCTAAACTTTCCAGTCCAATTAAATTACGTATTAAGTATGATACTTGCACTAGTTTTCATCAACTGGAATGAATCCAACTCGATTTCAGATTCTGAAAGTTCTGTTTGAACCCTACATATTGCAGTGCGATTCATATGTTCATTTACATGTGCATTGCACGTATTCCAAACAAAATGTATGCATACATAGTGCAAGTATAATTGTCAATCTTGCCTTGATTGCATATCTAAAAACAAAGCTGGCTTTTATGTCAAAGGAGCTTTTTTAGCACATTGAGTCTCCTCCACTGACCAGTTTGTGAAGCACATTTGTAAGACATCAAACGTATGTAATCACACATCTCAACTCTGCTCGTGCACCGCAAGATCATTTTGAATCCGACTGAGAATATAGTTGGACTCAAGCATTTACATGCTTAATTTTTTAATTTTGATCGATTATTTGAGGTCTACACCATTCCTTGCAATCCAATCGAAATGTCATTTGGATCGGGCATAATTGGATCAATTAAGGTGTTTGCATTAAGGCTTGGTTCAATCTGATTGCATGAACATCACAGATGATTGAGTTGTTCACACAAAGGCTTTTTGATCCAATTTGAGTTATCAATCCAATTATAAACTGATTATTTGTGTGCATGTAAACGTAGATATTTACATGTGCATTGCAGATGTTTACATGAAGACTTTTTAGTCAGTTTATCAATCAGATAACAACCAGCACAGCATCCAAAACACTGTGCTGCTGACCAGCAGTGCACTCTCAGAAATAAAGGTACAACAGCTGTCACTGGGGCGGTACTTTTTCAAAAGGTACATATTTGTACCTAAAGGGTCCATTTTGGTACCTTAAAGGTACATATTGGTAATTAAAGTGTACATATTATAACCTAATAGGTACAAAAGTGTACCTTTTGAAAAGGTACCACCCCAGTGACAGCTGTTGTACCTTTATTTCTGAGAGTGTGCTGGCCGTATAAATCATATGCATCATACAGAGAGGCTCCATATATCAGAATATCAATGAGTTATGAATGAATGACTGGCTCAATAATAATAAATGGATGTTGGAAGCATTCCATCATTTACCTCTCTCCTTGGCTGATGGATTCTGGAAACCTCTTTCAGATCCAGACCACATTTCTGCTAACTTAGGTTTGAAATAATGATGTGGCTCGATTGAAAAAAAAAATTCATTTTAATTTGGTGCTGCATTTTCTAGGTAACAAGCCTCCACAAGCTTTCATGGTTGCGGTTGCCAGATTTCAAGAGATTAAATCTGCCAATCATAGCCTTTTACTTAAATTGATAAATTTTCTGCTCAGTGGTTTACTTAATCTTCCCAACCTGGCAACCACGCCACTTAACCATTATCATGCAGCCCTACATCGTACATTCCATCTCCATTATCCCAGTCTTTACTGGTTTGAAGATTTTTCTGGCTCAGAACAGCCTTTTTTGGGGTAAAAGCAGACCCGGTTGGGCACATTATAAGTCAAAAAGGGGTCTATGAAATCTCAGTGTTATCAGTCATTTAGGGTGGTTTGCAGCCTTGACGTTTTTATTCAGAAACTAATTATACAGTTTCCTTTTCTGTAAGAACTGCATTCCTTCCCTGTTCACGAATGCAGTCTATTCCTGTTTGGTTTTCTCACTGTCGACTCCAGGGATCATCTTGTCACATCTCTTTTTAACACTCTCTCTTGGCTCCGGCAGAGTTCTCACATGCTCTCAGTTTGATCTCGCTCTCTTTCTTCGCTGCTGTTTGTCCTGTTGCAAGCTGCTTCCATGCGCACCAGCGATTTGACACATCTTCTTTGTGGCTTGTTTGGGAGATCGCGGAGGGCAGGCCCGGTTGCCAAGGCGCCTCCAAAGCGCTTAGCTCCATCCAAAGACTGCGTTTCATTTGTATTCAACTACACAGCTCCTCAGATGCTCAAACAAACCCTGACTCCAAATCAGTTGATTTGTGAAGTGTCTCCTGATGAAAACAAACGCAGCATGATGGAGACGTTACCAGAACGCCTCCAGAATGTGTCTCTTGTGTTCATCACACACACAGTTTTTCTTCAGCTCTTGTTTAATCTGTTGATCTGTGGTAGACATGCAAGTTCCCTGTTTACATTTTAGAGGAACGTGCAAGTTCTTGTTCATTATGTGCTTTCAGACAGTCTGAAAGTGTGTTTTCTTATCTCAAAGAGAATAAACAGACTTCATTATCAGAATCTAGCTAATTGTAATGGTCTTGAATTAGGATTTTCTTCCCTTGATGTAGTCAGTGTGTTAGATTAGAGGAGTAGTTGATAAGGAAAGGCTATATAAAGTCTTGCTCGACTGGCTCAGTGTTTCATCCCCACCCTCTTGTGCTTTTCCCACTAGACTCTTTTTCTATTCTCCAGAACATTGTTCTCTGTTCAAACATGTCTTGTACACAGTGGCTTGGTTTCATTTGTCAGTTTGTCTTCGTGTTTTGGCGGTGCCGTCATGTTTTATTCTGCTCTGTGTTGACGCACTGAAATGTATTTGGGTATCGGCTTGTGTAAATGTGAATTTTACAGTAAGTGCATTCTCAGAAAATAGGTACAAAAGCTGTCACTGGGGTAGTATCTTTTCAAAAGTATCTCTTTTGCACATTATTTACCCCTAAAAGATGCATATTGCTAATTTAAAGGTACATATTAGCACATAAAAAGTACATATTAGTACCTTTTGAAAAATGACAGCTTTTGTACCTTTTTTTCTGAGTGTTTTGATGTTCAAACCACTTTTATATTGCTAACAAACAATATAGGCTATGTTTGGCATCATTTTATGCTCTAAGAGAACCTTTTAAAGTGCCATCAATGCGGTTGAAGCCTTACAAAATTGAAATAAAAAATTTAATCATTAAAAGTAGTTGCCATACAAGCTTTTGCGCTGTTTTAAGTATATAGATGATCTCTGTGTTTGGGTGGTTTTAAACAGTTTTATGGAAAAATGTGGTAATATGCTGTTGCAAATGTTGTTGCTTATAATGATTCAAATCATTCGTAATATTTATTTTTTTTTTTTTACATTTCCAAATCTTTAAATCAGTGGTTCTCAACCTTTTTTTCCACTTGAGCTGACCAATTTTGTGAAATTCGGCTTGAAAGGAGTAACAGCACAATGAAGTTGCGATTTGTAAGTTGCAGTCTGTGAGACGCGCACGGAAGCGTGACTTGATGCGTGACATTGCAGAAAATGTGCGTTCCCAAATGTAGCCTATGTTGAACCAAATATGGAAAGCACTTTCGAATTGAATAATCTGAGGTTCTCTGCAGAGATGGTTTGCCACATTTCTGCAATTAAGGATGATTGCTGCGTAGTATGGGTGTTTCCTTTTGCCTGAACATCTTCAAGTGAGTAGCGGGCCAAACCGAAAGTTGATGCCGAAAGTCCAGCACTCTCTTACCTTCAGTGCTGATGCGGCGACTATTCTTGTTTGTATGTGTTCCTTCGCTGGCATTTTCCACATTTCGTTTTTCTCCCTTAATAACAAATGTATCCATTCTGATGCTCAATGTTACCGAACTAATGGCTGCTGATGACTATTTGAATTGAATTCTGCCAAAGTGCGCGCTTGTAAGTGTTCGTTAAATGCGTAACGTTAATTACGTGAGTACAGGTCTGC